TCAGGCGAGGCTACGGACGGTTCGTCCGAGCCGGGCTGCTTTGCTGTATAAATAGAGTGCGTCCTGAAGCGTCCAGCGCGTTGAGTAAACCAGACGACAAAGACGGCCAAAAACATCACTTGTCATTATCATTCATCACTTGCCTACCATTTCGTCTACAGCAATGTCCGCCCCTGTCGCCCTCATCCTCGGCGCCGGCTCCAACACGGGCCAGGCCGTCGCGCGCGCGTTTGCCGCCGACGGCTACAAGATTGCGCTGGTGGCGCGCTCGTTGAAGGAGGCAGACAGCGCGGATGGGTACCTGCGCATCCGCGCCGACCTGGCGGACCCGTCGTCGGTGACGGGCATTTTTGCCAAGGTCAAGGCGCAGCTGGGCGCGCCAAAGGTGGTTGTGTACAATGGTGAGTGTTGGGGGGGGGGGGGGGTGGTGAGAAAGTGTGTGTGTGAGAGAGAGAGAGCTAACAGCCCAGCTTCTGGCGGACGGCCGCCGATGCCGCCGCTGGCCACGACGCTGCCCGAGTTCACCACGGTGTTCAACATCAACACGACGACCGCGTATGCCGCCGCCAAGGAGGCTGTGAAGGCGTTTGGCGAGCACTCGGTGCCCACGGGCGTTTTTATCTTTACGGGCAACATCACCAACATCCACCCGATCCCCACCATGGCGCCCATGAGCGCCAGCAAGTCGGCCACGGCCACGCTGATCCAGTCGTACGTCGAGTGGGCAGCGTCGTCGCCGCAGGCCCCGCGCGGAATCCGCTTCTACTACGCCGACGAGCGCTTTGCCGACGGCTCGGCCGTGTACGGCGCCATCAACGGCGAGGCGCACGGCGTCATGTACACGGCGCTGGCGCGGGCGCCGACGCAGGGCCCGTGGCTGCAGACGTTTGTCAAGGGCATTGGGTACAAGGCGTTTTAGCTGCCTTGGGGGGGTTGTTCTGTCCAGTATGTAGCACGAGGTACAATGACGCTGTAGTGGACTCCGTTCAAGTACACAAAAGAACACCATAAAGAACACCAAAGAAAACAAGCTTTTGCTCCTTGCTTTAGGTTTAACGTGTGCGGAATTCGTTCCGAGTCGAGTGCTGCCGTTTATTGGAGCTTGCAAAATTCCAAATCACACCAAGCGTTGACTAAACGGCATCGGCCCAAATATCCCTACAAGGCGAGCCCATGCAGTCGCCATTGACGCGCCACGACAATGCACACTCACAGTCCGAACAACACCCCTGGATCCTGCAAGACAAGGCAAGGGACCGAAGAGAAGAAAAGGAGAACAAAGAATCCAGGCACACAGGCACAAGACGGCGATGGCTGAGTGGACACCCCGACCCGTAGTATTAACTGGGTTCACATATTTCCACACCCCTGCTAAGCCTATCTGGTCGTCGTCTGACAGCATCTGACGCTCGCTCAAACAAGCTGAACAGACGGCTACGACCTACTTTGTACGCACTACGAATCACTGTGGACAGACAGCGTGCAACGCGTGTCGTATCCAGCGTATTCTTTGTGGGGTAAACGCGGTCGACCACAACCACAGCCAAAACCAAACGAGAAGGTCCTTGCGTATATTGCGATGGGGACGCTTCCGCTTCCGTCTCCATCTGCTGCGCCAACCGCCAGCCGCCAGCCTCGATTTGTCGCGACCCCTGCGCCACCATCGCAAGCGATCTGCGCGGTAGCTCCTGGCTGCAGTTGTGTAGCGGGCACTGAGTCTCCTGAGTCCCCTGAGCTCCAACGGTTAGTAAACGGCATGGCCGCCAGTCCTGGTTGGACCATGTTTGGCCCTGTCTCCTGTGCTGTGCGTCCCGTCTTCGTATTCATTTGCTACCATGCACTGTCGTACTACCTGCCGTTGAGCCGTTTTCGTACCAATCGTACCTGTCTCGAAGAAAAATGCTAATTTGGGATGGTCCCTACAAGAGGGCTAATAAAAAAAGGAGATTGCAGGCTCGCAAACAGGTTTCTATGTTTCAATGTTTCGATGGGGCCCTGTTTGGGCATGGCTCGGCTCGTACGTGTACTCCGTGGTCATGGCCATCGGCGATTGATGGTCGTCGTGCCGGCCACAGCTCCTACTGAGTATATTTAGTCTTGGCATCGCCCACTTCTCTTGACAAACAACGTTCGTTTGCAGTCCAGCACCGCTCCAACCAGCACACAGAGACACCCACCCAAACGCTCCACAACATGCACAGCTTTTCCACACTGGCCGTCGTCGGTGGCTGGGCGCTTGCCAACGCCGTGACCGGTGCCGCCGCCGCGTCGGCCGCCGCCGCGCCCGTCAGCAACACGACCTGCGCCGAGAGCTTCTACATCCTGATCGCCCGCGGCTCGGGCGAGGCGATCCTGCCGCCCGGCCAGTTCAAGTACCCCGACTACACGGGCCTCGCCGCTAAGGCCGCCATCGATGTCCAGAACCAGATCCCCGGCGTCGTCATCGGCGGCGTCGTCTACCCGGCGCTCGACCCGACGGCCCCCGGCAACAACCTGTCCACCTACGCCACGTCCGAGGCCAACGGCACGGCTGCCATCGCCGACGAGGTGGCTGCCTACACCAAGAAGTGCCCCGGCGTCAAGATTGCCCTCCTGGGCTACTCGCAGGGCGCGCAGGTCGTGCAGGACGCCCTCTGCGGCGGTCTGGGCGACAATGCCGCCTTGTCCGTCGCCGGCACCACCGGCACCACCAAGGGCTTCAATGCGGACCCTCCCATGCCCCAATCGCTGGTGGAGGACAACGGTATGCCTCCCCCCCTCGTCCCCCACTTCGTTGATGGGATACTAACCTGTGCTGCGCATCAGTCTTCGCCATTGCCCTGATTGCCGACCCCACCCACATTGCCAACACCTCCTACGACCACGGCAACAGCACGCGCAACGGCGTCTTTGCCCGCACCAACACCACCGCCTGCGACCCCTACGTCGCCAAGGGCCTCTACGGCGCCTGGTGCCAGGCCGACGACCTCTTCTGCGACAGCGGCTCCAGCGCCCTCATCCACACCTACGAGCCGCTCACCTACGAGAACCAGGTCGCCCAGTTCCTCGTCGACCGCTGGAACAACGTCACCAAGGACGCGGCCACCCCCTCGGGCTCGGGCTCGCCGTCCGGCACGGCGTCGGCGCCCTCGGGCACGGCCACCAAGAACGCGGCCGGCCGTGTGGCGGGCACCCTGGGCCAGCCCATGCTGGCGGCGGCTAGTGTCCTCTTGGCGGCATGGCTGCTGAACTAGGGGGAAGACATGGCGTGTGCGGCGTATTTGTATATGTACCGTTGATAGTTGTGAAGGCATAATAAAAGTTGGACTTCATTTCAATGGATTCAAAACATGAACGGGAAAACAGAAACGCCGCTCGATAAACCGGGACAGTCAGCCATTTGGATTGCCGCGGCTGACTTGGCCGTAAACAAAAGAAATACCCCAACGCAACAACATTGCACTGGTACTATATAAAGAACAGTACAGAACCAACGACCAGCAGACATCCGGGTGGACAGTCTATCCATCTGCATTTAGCCAGCCAGTATCGGAAACACCAGGAGCAAATCGTGCGGCAGTGCTGTTGTACTCTGTATTGTATGTAAAGTATGTAGAATGTAAGTGGGTGGCAATGTCTTGTGTAAGTCGGCGTTATTTTTAGTCTTGCCGTTTTGGGCAATGGCCATGCTTGGCAGACACTGTCGCCGTCATCACGACTCTGGACTTTATCCTCCCGTCATGTCGCAGACCCGGTCTCGAACCATTGCTTGTTCTGTTCTGTTTCTCTTTTTTTTAACGCAGAGTTTGTCTTTTTATTTCCTGGGCTGCCTTTGTCACGTTCTCGGATACGGTGGAATTCTGAGACAGACGATGGGCGATCGCACATGCAGAGGCGAGGAGCAGAGGCGAGGACTCGCCCAGGGCGAATGTATGCCGTAAAGAGAGCAGAGGTGATAGGAAAACGATGTGAAGTAAAAAAGAATAAGTCTGGGTCGGCCCGCTTATACGAGACGTCAAGTGGCAGTTGCCCCGGCCTTCTGTTCTGTTCTCTCTTGCCTTCACGTGCCTTTTTCGGTGGCGTCGCCGATGATCAAACATGGCAGGAGCGGAGACCAAGAAGGACGGAAGGCGGGACCGGGATGCAGGCCAATCGTGACTGCAGAAAACAGGAAAGAACATTGTGCCAAGAAGGAGAAAAGGAGAAAAGAGGAAGGAACACTCCAAAGGAAGGAGCGAGATGCACTGCACACACAAGGAAGGCGCGCCACTCGAGCACAGAAATCCACCTTCCCGGAACGGCCGCATGCACACATCCACGCACCTGCCGGATCGCCGCCTTCTGTCTGTGCCCCTTGTTTTTACCTTTTCTTCTTTTTTCCCCTCCTCTTTTCCCTCCTCCCTCTCTTCTTTGCCATCCACGTCTTCACACACAACACAGGTGATCTACCGTCCCCTCGGCTTCCACATCATGTTCCAGATGAATACAACCGGATTGAGACCACGCCTGCGACGTCCGTGGGTCATCTCTTCTTCTGACGCCGGGTTGTCCATCACCAGATGCGATAGATGCGATGCTGGGAACAGGGCCAGATGTTGCCCACCGCAGCACACCAGGTCGTGACAACGACTGCCTCTACAAGATTGTCGTCGTGTCTGATCCGTACATCGTCTACGTCCTTCCTTTCCTACATATACCTTGCCATCCCTTCTTGGTCGACCCCTGCCCCGTCTGGTCTGTTCTTACTCTGATCTTTCGTCTCTTGTTCTGCTTCCTCTTTCTTCCCTTTCTGATCTCTCTCTTCCTCGTTCTCATCAAACTCCTCTACATGGAGTCCTTCGAGACAACTCTCATCACCAACATGGCCGGCCATCGATATTGACTTTGAGGTTTCAGTTGCTTGACTGTCCAATTGTACTACTTTTACACTACCTCCTTCTTTTAAGCTGGTCTTTTTTCTGTCTTTTGTTGCTCTTTGGCAACCGTTCTCTCTTTTATACCCTACGCCTCATGGCCCCGTGATGGAACCGTCCTCACGCCCACAATCCACGCTGTCAACTGACCCCGAGTCGCTCATTTTGAAAAAGAAAGACGTGAAGAAGACAAAGACGACGAAGCAGACGAAAAAGACGAAGAAATCGAAGAAGGACACAAAAGAGACAAAAGAGACAACGTCGAAGCAAAACAATCCAAACCGGACGTCACAAAATCACCCACAACAACACACACAACAAACACAACAAACACAACCACCCAAACACAGCCGCCAACATGTCTCTCGACAGACGCGACGTCCGCACACTACGCTCGCCCTCCTTGCCACCATCCTCCTCGCGCTGGCCTCCGTCGCTGGCATTGTCCTGGGCGTCCTGGCCACCGCCGTCCTCCATCTCCAGGTGCCTGCTGATGTGCCCAGCCGCATCGCCGTCTTTGGTGCGTCCATTGGCGGCGTCGGCCTCGCCGTCGTCCAGGCCATCGATCTGTGCTCGCGCTCCCGCCGCCTAATTTTTGCCTGCCAGCTCACCACCCGCCTGGTCCTCCTTGCTTGGGTCGCCTCTGTCGTGCTGACGAGTCTGGAAGTGGCCCGGACGGTGCGCGACGCCACCGTCTCGTCCACGCTCGCTGCGCAAGCCGTCTACCTGAACCTCATGCTCAGCAATGTGGGCTTCCTGTCAACCGCAGTGCTGTCGTTCTGTCTCGAGCGAGCGACCCGGAAAGGCCAACAAAATGCGCATGACAGAGACGTCGAGGACGATGATGTGGATGACCTCCTCGACAAAAGCGTCTCCCAACGGGGATCGCTCTCCGCCGAGACCCATTCGGACAAGAACGTGGACCCGGCAGACGAAGAGCCCCGACCCAAGAAGCTGCTCTTTTCCTACAAGGCCACGACACAGCTGATGAACGATACCCCAGCCAGCCGTCGTGCCTCCATGGTCTCAGCTGCGGTGGTGCCGCCAGCAGCGCAGCCGGTGGTCCAGCCAACGGTCAGGCCGTCTACGTCGATCAAGCGCAAGCCCGTGCACCCTGTTGCTCAGCCTGCAGCGTCGGCACACTCGGCCGTTGACCGGCGCAAGAGTGTGATGCCGCCCGCCATATTCTCGGATCCGTTTGCGGACCCGGTCGAGGAGAATCCCTTCTTGGACAGCAACCGCGTCGACGCTGGGCTGCCAGAAGCCACGACTGTCACGACTGCCACGACCGCCACGACCGCCGCAACGGCACCGGCTCCTACGCGGCCTCGGCGGCTCTCAAGAATGTCCACCCACGACCTGCCCAGGCTCATCACGTCCGTCGAACCAATTCCAACAGACTCGACCTTTTACCTGTCCTCCAGTGGAAGCAGCAACTACGACAACGACGAGGACAAGGAACAGACGGCAGAGCCGCTGGAAACACCACAAGCATCCATCCTGCCCTACTCGCCGGCTGTGAAACGACCGCGTTCCATCGTACCACCTGTGCCGCAGGTGCCGGTTCCAAAGGTGACGGCCGCTCTCATGCCGCAAACCCTGCCGCAAACCCTGCGGCGCAAGCCTGTTGGGAGTGCCGGTCCGGCGGCTGCCACGGCACAAGCAGGTCCTATCAAGAGGAAGCCAGTGCCGTCCATGCCCGCTGCAAGAGCCACGGCGCCAAAGATGGAGACTCCAGAACCACTCTCGCCCCTGTCTCAGCCGGCTTCTGCCGAACCTCCCATTCTCGCACTCCCAGTTGCCCTCCCTGCTACCACAACACAGATTCCCATGCACTTCGCCTCGGCCGTGTCGTCGCGCAAGTCGTCCAATGCCTCGGACATGTCCGAGTCAGACGCCTCTGTCGCGTCATCGTACACTAGCCCGTCCCTGGCCGATATGGTCGCCTCGTCCTTACGGCGTGGATCGGTGTCCGTGGCCGTGCCCACGGCCGTGTCCGAGGTGTTTGCGGGTGCAAGCACAACGACGTCCTTGCCAACCCGCTCCGTGGCCTATGCGCAACCTCGTGTGTTCGACCAGCCTATTGTCCGTAAGTCGTTTATTGCGACGACCAACACGACGATGACGTCGACCACCAACGCCTCCACCACTACCAATGGAAGTGGAAGCGAGGCTCATGCACGGAGGCCGTCGCAAGTCTCGATCATGGAGACCATTTACTCGCCGGCCGACGAGCCCGGAAGTGACGAGGACAGCGAGAACAGCGAGAAAACCAAAGGAGGAATGGCCGACGAAGGCTACGACGCCGACTTGGCGGCCATGGTCCGGCAAGAGGCCGAAGCGGCTGCTGCGGCGGCTGATGCCGGAAGGCGGTGGCTTGAGCCGTCGCGGGATTCGATGAGAGACTCGATGCGGATGGAGCGCACGACGTCCATGTCCAAGCACCTGTCGAGAAAGCCGTCTCTTTCGCCCGTGGAGGAGCAGGAGCAGGAAGGCGAGGAGAACGGCGTCAAAGTCGACGAGGACAAGGCGGATGAGGTGATTGAGGTGGCTGAGGTAGACAAGGGAGACGAGAACAGTGAGGACGAAGAGACAGTCGACGACGAGGACGGCGAGGCGAACCCGTCCGTCCACACCATTGTCGTCCACGAGCCCGCGGGCTTCACTGCCACCGGCCTGTCACGCACCGCCAGCCGCATGCGCAAGGCGGCACTACGGGCAGCAGGTCAAACGGCGCAGACGGCGAACACGGTGCAGACGACGCCATCAGCTGCGAATCACACAGCCTCCACGTACGTCCCCGCGTACACCCGCCGTCGCCTGTCCACCGCCAACTACAATTTCTCACGTCCGATGCGGGCCACAGGCGACAAACGCGTGTCGCTTGTGTCCACCATGTCCTCCACCACCACGAAGCGAGCCTCCCTCGCCGTCGTTCCCTCTGTGCCCCAGACATCGCTGCTGGCCAGCCCGCGCTCGCGCGTGCGTCGCCAGCTGCTGCAGATGCTGCCCGTGCAGCACCGGCCGATCACACTCGTGAAGCCGATTTCGTTTGCCAAACCGGTGAAGGCGGTCAAGGTGACAACGCCCCGCAAAGGCCGCCAGTCTCTGTCAGGCCGTCGCCACCGTCGGTCGCTTTCGTTGAACTTGGCGTCGCTCAACACGAGCGACGATGCGCTGTCGTCGTCCTCGGCGTTGCCGTCGGCAGCGTCTTCCTCGTCGACTTCCACCCTGTCGTCAACCTCCGCCTCCACGTCGCCACGCCACAAATCGTACCGCAGCACCTCCCTCGCCAAGACAGCCCAGCGTGCCCGCCGCCGCAACCGCGTCCACGGCCGCCACCTGGCCGGCCTGCGGAGCAGCACACTGCGGCCCTCGGCGTCCATGTCGGCGGCCCAGCGCCAGTCGTCGGGCAGCGACCGTCTCTCGCCGCACACGCCCTACACACCCTATACGCCGCGCAACCGGCCCATCTCGCCCATGACCTTGCTGATGGGACGGCGGTAGATGGTATGCGCGTATTTATTTTCTTCATATTTATTTTCTTCATTTGTCTTCTCGTTCTCTTTCTCTTTCTCTTTTGCTTGTCGTTTTGTTTTGTAATAATACCCGCCCGCGAGGCAACCCTGCGTAGACAACAGTGCAGGGACGAATGCAGCATAATGGATTTTGGATTCTTTTTCTTGGCGTACCTTTTTCTTGATCGTGACGTTGCTCGACGGTTTGGACTGTACACTATTTTGATTGATTCGCTGTGACGGCCTTTTTCAGGCCTCCATGACAACGATGGCAAAGAGTATCAACAGCAGAAATGGCCTCGACAAACCAAAGTCACGGCCGGCAAACGAATCAACCTAAAGTCCTGTAGTGGTCTTCTCTGACTTCCCCGTGATCCATTGCGGCGGTCGTTGGATCGTCGTCCTGTTGCTTTTGCTGTCAAAAATATCCGGAGCAAAGAAAAAGCCAAGCCTATCAAAAAGCTTGGGAAAGCTTACGCTGTTCTCCGTCGGCTGGCAAGCCTGGCTTGGCCGGAATCTAGACCTGGCTGGAAAGACCTGGGGGCATCGGTCGACTGTCTGGCACTCTCAGGCACTGTCCCACGTTTTCCGCCATGACGTTTTCAGGGCCGCGATACTTGGCGTGTCGCCCGCTGTGGTCCCAAGCCAAGGCCCCGCAAAGCCAAGCCAAGCCAAGCCGAGCCAAGCCAAGGCGTCCCCAGAGCGCCTTTCTCTCGCCCTCGCAGCGCAATGGCCCTCTGAGTAAGAATGCCAAGAACGTCGCACATCGCCCCTTCTCGCTCCACATATCGTCTTAGCCGTGTGTTGTGATTGGCCACTTTAACAGCAACTTGGCGAAACGTGCAAAGGGCATCGAGACCAGAAGGCTGTGTGGGATGGAATACAAAGCCGAATCGCAAGGGAAAAAAGGAGTACAAAACCAAGAGGTCTTGTCCCTTTTTTTTTTTTAACAAACAATTAAGTCATCACTATGACACAATCTTGAGACACCTCATCACTCTTGAATTGCCTCGTCCAGTCTCACAGCTCGCAGCTGGTTACTCTGGACATCTTTTTCCTCGCGCTTTACTTGGCGACTCTCCTCTCACTCAATCTCATCCATCAGCTCTCCTTGCCCATCTGCTGCGCGCTGTGCAGACAACACCTCTCAGCCATGGCGTACCTGACCGACGACGACAAGTGGCGCGCCGTCACCGCGCGCGACGCCGCCGCCGACGGCCTCTTTGTCTACGGCGTCCGCACCACCCGCATCTACTGCCGGCCCAACTGCAAGGCCCGCCTCGCCCGCCGCGCCAACGTGCGCTACTACGCCACCCCTCACACCGCCGAGGCCGCCGGGTACCGCGCGTGCAAGCGGTGTAAGCCGCGGACCGAGGGCGGCATGCCGGAGGACGAGGCGGTCGCGCGGATCCGGGCGCTCGTGGGCCGGCAGCACACGGCAGGCGGAGCCGGCGGTGGCACAGGCGTCTGCGCCGGACCCGCCGCCGCCCTGGCCAGCCCGTCGATGCTGGCGTCCCAGGCGCGCGTGTCGCGGTGGCATTTCCACCGCAAGTTCAAGGAGGTGACGGGACAGACGCCGCGGGCGTACTTGAAGCAGCGGGAGCGGGAGCGGAAAGCACGCGAGGCGGCGGCGGCGGACCAGAACCAAAACCCTATTGAGGCGGCGGGCATCGCAGTCGCCCCACACTTGAATGTCGACGCCCCCGCCGACGTCACCTCCACGGCCTCCTTCACCGCCACAACAACGCCCTCGACGGACAGCGACGACCTGTTTGAGCTGGCGGCGGCGGACGGCACGCCCCTGTCTATGGCGATGCCGGACCTGGCCGTCCTCTTCCCCGACGTGGCGTCGCACCTCCACAGCCCAGGCCCCGTTTCGTTGGACGCGTTCCCCAGCCTCGGCGCAGGCAACATCAGCAACATCAGCAACACGAGCAACACCAGCAACACCAGCAGCGCCAGCGGCAGTCCTCTCAATGGCGTGGACTGGGACGCCGTGGACATGGATGCGCTGTATGCGAGCAGCAGCATGGATCCTCTGTTCATCGACCCGGCCCTCTGGGGCGACTTGGGCAGCGGTGCGAGCGGCGCGCCAGGCAGTCTGGGCGGCAAAAGCATGGTCGGCAGCAGCAGCAGCGGCGGCGGTGTGTACGGCGGCCTGCCAGGATACTACATGGACGGCAGTTTGTTTGAGGCGGTACCGATGGCGGCGACGGCAGCGACAGCGCCAGCGTCAACGACAGCAACAACATACGGAACAATACACGACATACACGACCCACTCCACGGCACAATACCGTTTATGGGGGCCTGAGGACGGTGGACAGAAGGGATTAGAAGGGAGGGGGAGGGGCGTCGGGACTTGTTATGATACAAACGAAGCGATGGCATTGCATATACATTGGGAGCATGGATAGGATAACTGGAAAACAGGATAACAGGATACGGGACAACTGAAATTTGAAGGCATTACTCATGGACACTGAAAGATAAAAACGTAGACAAGACAGCAGACACTGGCAAATGGAGCATGTCGTAATTACTCTGTTGATTAAAAAGGACAATCTGTCAGGTGACACCTTTTGCGCTCCGCAGCCTGGAGCCCAGAAATGCCAAGAGTTGGAGGCGTTGGAGGCGCTGCCAGTCAAGACGCCGACACTCCAGGGTCATGTGTGTGTCTCTCTAAGAAAGAGGCAGCTTGTCCGAATCGACTTTTGAGAAACGGTCGAGGCATAATCTTAGTTTAAGTTGTTGGAGAGCGGCCCAGCGGGTCCCAGGTCAACTTGCTTTGTGTTTGTTCCCTTTTGGTGACAATCTGCAGGCTTTTTAATTATTTTATTTTTATTTTTTGTTGCCAAGGACAAGTCTGTTCAGCCACACAGGACTAACACCATTTTGGGATGAAAAGAAGGGGACGATGCGAAAACGTGAAGGCTGTCGGCTCTGCTCTTGGCTGCGGCTGAAGAGACGTTGGCGCCCTCCGAAACGAGTGTATGGACACGCACCGCGGACAAGTGTACTTATTCCATATGATTCAGGCGTCCCCTAGTTGAAACTTGACCGTCTTCATTTCAGAGTCACTTTCCAAGATTGTCACGCTCCTCGCTTCTGCTCGCGTCCAGCGCCTACCACACCCACCGCAACCGCACACGCCGCCCGCCATGACCATCGAGAGCAAACCGCCGCCGGCGCGTCGTCCCATGCAGATGGAGGCGGCCGCCGACAGCACAAAGACGGTCGCACAGCAGCCGGTAGGTTCTCTTGTGCACGCGTACCTCATACACGTTGCGTACAATCACATCGTGACTGACTCTGACTGACCCGCGACGGCAGCCCATGGAGCCCCGCCCCGCGGCGACAGTCGACGCGTCGCAGGCCAGCCTGCGCGGCGGCAATCTGAGTCTGGGGTGCCACTGCTGCCACGGCAGCTGTTCGTTTTACAAGTCGTGCTGTTGAGGGTGGAGAGAGGGTGGAGAGGCCACAGGCGCGACGGTCTGCATGCACAAGGAAGAGCCGACATCGAGCGTTTGATTTCTGTTCATAATTCATGTATTCTATCTGCAAATCCACTATAGACCTCGGTCGCGTACTCGTCCATCACACCCCCCTTGCCATGCTGTCCATTTCTCGTGAGCCGCGCTGGTCGGCATCGTCGGCCGTGTCGTCGCCGTGCACCATGCTATAGCCGGCGCCGTGGTGGGCGCCATGGCCGCCGTCGTGCCCGCCACCGCCGAGTTCCTTGGGCACCGGGGCCGTGGCAAACTGCCGTGTCGGTGTCTGCTGGGCAAACAGCCAGTCGAGCGCGGCGTAGGAGCGGCCCTTGGTCTCGGGCAGGCGCAGCCAGGCCCAGAGCCCGACGGCCGACGCCAGCAGGGCCCAGACGAGGCCGACGGTGCCCTTGAGGTTGAGGGCGCCCGGGTTCAGCAGGTAGGGCTGGGCGACGTTGGCGGCGATGGAGGCGGCGTAGTAGGCGTCGCGGGCGAGGCAGACGGTGCGCTGGCGCAGGCGGGTGGAGCCGACCTCGGCGGGCACGGCCCAGCCGAGCTGGCCGACGGACAGCTGGAACACAAAGGTCCAGACGAGCGTCAGGGCGGCCTGGACGAGGCCGACGGCGACGATGGTGCGGCGGCGGTCCAGCAGCCCTAGCACGCCGACGGCCGCCAGGAGGCAGGCCATGGCGGCCATGCCGCCCAGGAAGATGGTGCGGCGGCCGTAGCGCGGCATCAGGACGAACCAGTTGCCGAGGGTGCCGACGAGCGCGAGACATGTGCCGCCCGTGTTGAGCAGGTACGTGGTGTGCGTGGGCAGGCCGACCTGCTGGAAGAAGTAGGTCGAGTTGTACGCAAAGGGCGCGCCCGCGAGGACCTGCGCGGCAAAGGCCATGCAGGCGATTTCCGTGCGGCGGCGCTCGGTGCCGCGGAAGCAGTCGGCATACGTGGTCTCGGCGGGGCCCATGGCGGCCTTTTCCATGGCGTTGGTCCGCTCGATGGTGGCCAGCGTGGCGTCAATGTCGGCGCCGGGGACAGACGCCGATGCCGACGCCGACGACGTCTGCAGGCGCGCCAGGGCCTTGCGCGCCGCCGACCGCCGGCCCGTGCGCACGAGGTGCCACGGCGACTCGGGCGCAAAGCACAGCACGGGGAAGATGACGAGGGGCCACAGCCACTGCAGGGCAAAGGGGATGCGAAAGGCCCACTCGTCGTCGGGGCGGCGGTTGACGAGGGTGGCCAGGACGGCGGCGGCGATGAGCTGGCCCAGGATGAAGCACATGTTGGTCCAGGAGGTCAGGTAGCTGCGGAGGGCAGTGGGCAGCAGCTCGGAGGCGTAGGCAGGGGCGGACGAGGCGAAGATGCCCCAGGGGAGGCCGCAGAGCAGCTCGCCGACGAGGAGCACGGTGATGGTCGGGGCGAAGAAGGTGAGGCAGATGAAGGCGCTGAGGACGGCGAGGGCGGCGAGGAGGACGCGCTTGTGGCCGTGGCGGGCGACGAGGTGGCCGTTGAGGGCGGTGCCGACAAAGCAGCCGACGGGAGCGGCGTTGGCAAGGGCGGCCATCCAGGCGGCGGTGAGCTGGTGCTGGCCGTGCTCGTCGACGAACTGGCCGTACTTGGCAGCGAAGGCGGGATAGGCGAAGAAGTTGCCGATGCTGGGAGCGTGAGGGAGTGAGCTGTGAGCGAGCGAGGGAAGCGAGACAAAAAAGAAAGCGAGCGAGCGAGCGAAGCGAGGGAAAAAGAAAGAAAAGAAAGCGAGCGAAGCGAGGAAAGAAGAAAAGAAAAGAAAAGCGAGCGAAGCGAGGAGAAAAGAAAGAAGAGAATAAAAGCAAGCGAAGCGAGGACAGCGTACAGAATCATGTCGTAGCCCTCCATGATGACACAGGCAGACGTGACGAGACACCAGAAAATGGCCTTGCGGTAGACGCGGACGGCCTGGCGGACGGTTAGGTTGGTGTCGACGTCCATGTCGGTGTCGAGGTCGATGTCAAGGTCGATGTCGGTGGGCGCGGTACGTGCGGCACGTCCCAGCGCGGCCGGCCGGCCGACCAGGCCCTGCCGCTCGCTGGGCACACTGTGGTCGTGGTCGTGGACACCATCACGATGGCCGTCACTGTCGTGATCGTCGTCACCGTCACCGTCGTCGTCGGATCCCAGTGCAAACGGATCGTATTCGGGGCTGCTGGCTTTGTGGCCGGCGCTTCGGCCGCCAGAGTCGCCCGCCTTGGAGGTGGAGGAGGGCATGGTGGGCATGCGGTGCGTGGTGACGGCTACCTCATGGTGTCGCGGGTGTCGGGTGTCGTGAAGTCGTGACAATGTTCGTGACAGTGTTTGTACGATGTATGTTTGTTGGACAAGCGGACAAAGGGAGAGTCATCCGCAGTTGCACAGAAACAGACACGCCTCCTTCGCACGGCACGGGTCAGACAGGGAAGGCGCCATCGATCGTCGTGCAGGGGCAGTGCGGTCATCGCTGGCCAATCAAATGGGCACATTCAGCGTGTGAAAGTGGAGCACAACTGCAGCATCACGAGTCTGAGGTGGAATGCATACATTCCTCTCACGTCTTTTACGCATCACCACGATCCGCTGGTACGTCGTGCAGCTTGTATTGCATTGTATTGTATGCTCTGTCTAGTGTTATGTCTGTATGCCCGTCGCCGCCGTTTGAATTGCAACAAGAGCATCCATTCGCAGTCAGCCCTCGGGCGTCGGCCTCATGGAGAAGCAGAAGAAAGTCGGCAAGGACCAGCTTTCATGTCGTCTCAGCGCGGATCGCGAATCATGTACACGTGCTCGTACACCCCCCCAAAGTACCGCCGCATCTCCAACTCCCGGTACCCGTGGCCCTTGGACGTGTACACGGGCCGGCCGTCGGGCGTCGCGTCCAGGTAGCACGGCACCTGCTGCGCGTCCGCCTGCTGCTCGGCCCACCGCAGCAGCGCGCCGGCCGCGCCCTTGCCCTGGTGGGCCGGGTGCGTGGCAATCAGCTCGAGGTACCAGTGCGGCTGCTGCTGGCCCGCGTTCGTCGGGTGCGCCATGTAGCGCCGGTGCTGCCGCTCCAGGTCGTGGAAGAACTCGACGGCCGCGTCCGGGTCGCCGTCGCTCGGCCAGGCGTCGCGCGGCGGCATGGACGGGATGGGATCCGTGGGCTTGCGGGGCGCGTTCCAGACGGCAAACGCCACAATCGCCTTGGGGCCCGCGTCGGTCGCCGCCGTCTCCATGACGCGGACGTGCGTGTCGTCCTCGGTGAGGTTGTTGGTCAGGTTCTGCCGCCAAAACGGCCGCACCTGCGTCGACGTCGGCGGGAACACCACCTTCTGCACGCCGTTGTTGGCAAACGCGGCCATGTAGACTTCGACCAGCTGGTCCACGTCGTCGAGCGTGCCGGCGCGCATCGTGAGAGCCATTGTGGTGTGTGGTGTGGTGTTTGGTGTGGTAATGTGTGGTGTGTCTGTGATGAATTTCTTATTTTTGAATGCTTGAGACGTGTCTGCAGACCACTTCTCTCTGACTGGACTGCCTGACGAGGACTGCAACGACCTTTGTATCTTTCGTCCAGAAATGCGACGCTGCAAAAGTCAGTCGATCGACGCTTGCTCACGGCTGACGCTTGACGTTTATGTCGTCGCTTGCGCTACCGAAGCCGAGTTGTCGTCGCTTTACTTTTCTTTTTTCTTTTCTTTTTTTCAGCTGAGGTACAATGTAACGTTTTATACGCAGAAGAAGCGATTGTCGCGGCGATCGTATTGTCGTCTTCTTAGGTCACGTTTTTACACCGCACGCCCGAACTGACTCACGTCGGCCAGCGGCAGGAAGTGATCCGCTCTTTCGCAAAAGGAAAAAAGGAAAAAAAGAAAAAAAAGGGCCAAAAGGGCAGGAACGACAAGAGCATAGTTTAGGAAGGTGCCTGGCTTGCTAGCGGCAGGTTCCAGACACTAGCCAACTGCCTATTCGAGACGCCGTCTGTTATACTAGACCACTCCACTAAGCCAACTGCAAATAGAGCCCTCAATCACCAAGGCTAGATACAGGTCTGAAGGACTGTAGTCCAACATCATCAAACGCAAGTCAGTATCCATTCGATGTTCACTTGACTTCTACGCTTGTCATTACTATCGCAATCCTGTGATGGCAATGCTCATATATTGTCTTATATACAAAAACACGGTCGTCCATGGTCAATACGCGCATACGAAATGGTCTAAATACAGACACAAATACACGTCTTATATCAACCCTCTGCGTCCTAATCGTCAATCGGCAAGACTGTGCGCACGCCGTCCCGGATTTGGCCTGCAAGGTTAGCATCGACAGCATCATGCAGATAAAGACAACACTGTGCAATGGACTCACTCTCGAGGTAGCTCGTGATTTGGCCGTAGTCTTTGCACACTGTGGGAGTTAGCGACAGTCGACAGAGTATCCAATCGACCCAGGAGAATGGTTATAGCTGCGAGCAGATGGCTGCGAGCAGCTGGACACAGAGACACTGGGACTACTAGAGTGGACGTAGACGCTTCGCGTCGACTCGCAACTCACCATGATGACCGCTCCACCCCCCGTCCAGCGCCCCATTGTCCGACGCGTCCGTCGGCTCGTGCGCCTCCACCGCCACGTCGCCTGCGCACATGGCCGCCTGCCGCAGATAGTCGATGCAGTGCAGGTAGTGCGAGTGGTAGTCCGCTGGCAGGTCGGGCGACGGCATGGCGTTCATGCGCAGCGCCGTGTAGATGCGGCCCATCATCAGGATGCAGTGCAGCTGGTGCGTCATGGTCGTCGTGAAAAAGGTCGTCGCGGCCTCGGTGTTGTGCCAGCCCGTGCCCTGCGGCATCAGCGTGTTCCACGTGGCCAGCGTTGTGTTGCTGGCAAAGTCGGCATCTTTGGGGGGGACAAAGGCCTCGTCGGCCTCCCACTTGACGACTTTTGTGCGGACTGGGCGAGCGAGTCACGAGCGTTAGCGAGAGAGGACAGCGAAGAGTGAAAGTAGGATGAGGAATGAGGAACGGCGAGGTGCCCCCCAACTTACAGATCGGCCCCGCCTTCATATAATCCCCCCCGACCTGCCACCGCGCCGGCCGTTGCCGCACCTCCAGCTGCAGCAGCACCAGCAGCCCCAGAATCACCACCAGCAGCCCCGTGTCCACCATCCAGCGGTGGCGCCGGACTGCCCCCAGCACGCGGCTCGTGCGCGACGGCCGTCGGGCGAGCAGCCCCCGCTCCAGCGCAACAGTCTCCCACTGCTTCTCGTCGTCGGTGATCAGGGCATCGTCGACCTCGGTGTCGGAGCCGTCTTCGCCGCTGCGGCGGATGCTGTCGGTTCTGTCGGTGCTGTCGGCCGGCGAGCGCGTGGCGTGCTCGGCGGCCTGTCGTGCCAGTCGGTCGCTGCGGCGGTCGGCCTTGCGAGCGTCGGCGCGGACGGGGTTGTACGCAGCGGAAGACATTGGGAAAAAAGTAGGGAAGCAATACGTAAAAAAGAACAAAAAAAAGCAAAGGAAACAAAAAGACAGGTCAACTGTCGGCAGAAACGAAAGCAATGATAAATGAGCAAGAAACAAATAAAGTGAAAGAATAAACTGGCCAAGAACAAACGCAAAATCACAAAAGGAAAGATGAGGCGACCGAGTGTGCTGCGTCGTGCTTGTCGCCCTTTTGCTATTCTGAGGCGTTTCAGGTTGGTCGAGGTCGTGTTCCAGAGTTCCAGATTCGGGGTCAATTCCTACAACGCTGCGACGCTGTGACCCCACGGCCGTGGACTGTGCCTTGTGGGTCATGTAAGACGGCACGCCCTATTCTCTTTTTATTTCCTCTGTTTTTTATGTTCCTTTCTGTCAATTTGCCAAGTCTGATGCACAATCATGTCGATCGTGCAGGTTGCCGGCATTGTGTACAACCTTCTCTACACATTCTACTCGACCCGTCTACCGTCTATGTGCATGAATTACATCATTGCGATACTTCTGGTCGTCCTCACACCCACCACCCCCCTTGCCCCCCTCCCTCATCCCACGTACTGTGCGTATTTTGTAAATTCGGGGTCGGCCTGCAGGTTCGCCAAATCGGCCGCCCGCAAAGACACGCCCGCTGCCACTGTGCCGTCCCTGTCCGCCGGCATCAGGAACGCGAGGCTCTCCACCGGCGTAAACTGTGGACGGCGCACGGCCACGGGTCGCTGCCCCCCAAGGCCAAAGTCCGTGTCCACGCCCGGCGCCGTCGTCCACGAACTCAGCATCAGGCCGCCGGCCGCGGTGTCGACGTGCCCGACAAACGAGAGGCGCCGGCCGGCCTGGTCGGGGTGCATTTCCAAACACGTAGCCAGCGCCCGCGTCCGTTCCCGGAGACGGTCGGGCTGCAGGAGGGCGGCGCGGAGCTGGGCAGACGCTTCGCCCAGGGACGCATCGCAGACCCAGGCGACGGGGTGGGTGTGGATGGTCATGTTCTGGAGGAGGGCCGGGTAGTTGGGGGGCAGGCCGAGGTGGCGGCGGACATTGACGGCGCGGGCGAATGTCGACAGAGAAGACGACGTCGACGTCGACGTCAACCTCGCCCTCCGCGCCCGCAGGATCGACTGCCATAGGAACGCCGACAGCGCATCGTTGGTCGACACAAACCGGACGCCGCCCGCTTTGGGCAACGTCCGCGTCGCCTCGTCCTTGAGCGCCTCGAGCGCCGTCTGGCGGACGTGGAAGTAGGACCATGTGATGGGCGGCCTCGTCTCTGGCGCCTTTCCGGGCTGTGGCCCCTTCCCCTCCCCCTCCTCGACCGGCCGCACCTGCTCTGGAATCAGGGCAAACGGATCGCCCGCCCCCGCGTCCAGCAGATCCACCGCGCCCGCCCGGTCGCCGTTGCCCACGGCCAGGTCGTCCGCACTGTACGCCTCGCCCCGGCACGCCTGGGCCAGCCACTCCACGACGGCCGTCTGGCCCGCCATGTCCATCGCCGCGTGGTGCCCCACGACGGTCAGCACCAGGCCACCGCCGTGCAAAAACGTCGCCTGCACGAGCAGCACGGGCCGCTCGGCCGGCTCCGCGGGCGACGGCAGCGTCCGCCGCGGCGCCACCACCGACTCGTCGAGCAGCCGGAACGGGTACTGGGCCGCACGGAGGGCCGCCATCGTCATCGTCGGCGGCGCGTCCGTCACCACCAGCGGCGGCGGCCCATCGGGCAACGGCGCAAAGTGCAAGTGCCGCCGGCCGTCCGCCCCCGCGGCGCGCACGATCTGCCCGCCGAGCCAGGGAAACGCCGCAACCAAGCGCGCGAGGCCCGTCTGCAGTGTGGCCACGACGGCGGCCCGCTCCGGCGCCGCAGCGAAGACGTACGCAATCTGCGTGTAGATCTGCATCCCGGCCTGCTGTCCAAACACGCCCACGTCCATCTGCGCCGCGGCGGCCGCGTCGAGGTGCACGAGCGTCTTGGTCGGCGCAGCAGGGCCGCTGGTGTTGGCGGCGAGGGAAGAGGCGGCCATGGTGAGGCTGCCGACAAAGTGATGTTTTTGTGTTGTTGTGTGAGCGAGGAGTGGTGTTTGGATGAGTGCTGGAGCACTGGAGCCCCGCAGCCTCCTCATTAACACACTCTGCCCCACAAACAGCATCTGAAAACTGCCCGCTAAAAACGGAAGGACCCGACGCTGACTCAAACTGCTGCAACCGACATGGTTCATATGTTGACTTTCTCCTAGTCGTAACATCTATTCTTTTACATTGCATTGCTCGACTATATTTATATTCTACAATTTGTACATGAGGCACACAATATGTTAAAAAGAGAGAAGTCGTGTGAATCAACTTGGAATTGTCTGAGTTAACATTGATTCAATGTCTCATTTGTGTGAACAAGAGAGCTATGCAAATAAAAAATACTAGAAAATGACTGAATAAAGTAAATGAGACGAATAGTTACGCGTACCGTATTTATGACGTACATTCGTCTCGAGTTGTGGCGACCGTCTTTACGACGACTATAGCCACCTTTGGAACCGCCCTGTTAAGCCGCCTACATCTTTCCCTTTTAAGCTTGTTGACCACGGTTGAGGAGCAAGAGCAGCCCGGCAAGCACGACCGTCTTCCTCTTGCCCAACCTGGACTTTGTGCATCTCCTTTTTGCCCCTGAATATACCATCTTCCAATCTCGCCATCCTTTCGAGTTATCAGCCGACGTTCTGGCATCACTCAATTCACCCAGTCACGACAACCAACGGTTTCCGTTCCGTATTGCTCCCTGATGTCTCGCGCCGCTGGATGCAAGACGAACAACGCCGAATTTCGCATCTACAAAAACAGCAACAAAACCCGCCTTTGTTTTAAATCCGATCCTCTTGACGTGCCACTCCTCAAAACTGCCAGGCGCCTAACTTTCTCACGGGGATTCGTTAGGATGCTTGGCCTCATCAACGCGCGGCCCTGGCCGGCCCTGGCAAGGGATTTGGCCTCAAAGGGTCGGCCAATCGGGCCCCAAGCCGCCGACCAAGGTCCAGGCTGTTCACACCAAGGCTGTGCATCTCCTCGTTCCATGCTGCCCTAGTATGCATGCTTTTGCACATTTGTGTCTTCCTTCACAGCTTTTCCCGCCGTCACATCACTCTCATTTGCTCGCTTGTCCATGTGCAGAAATGCACTTTGACAAGCAGACAGCGAGAACCAATGAATTCCCACCCAGCCACAGGACGACCATCCATGGAGAATGCACACAGGAAGACACAGGAAAGGCCTTGTTCTGGGCCTGCCATCTGGCACGGCTGCGCCTAGCGACTGTCTTGAGAATGTTCGAGAAGAGGAGGGCGAGCTCTATTAAATGGACTGCCGTCCCATTCATGCTGTCTTGGTCGAGCGTTAAAGTCTATCCACAAAGTTCACTTGCAAGAAGCATACACAGACACAATTCTCACCATCTCAGTCTCAGCACGACCGACGCAGCAACGCACCATCCCCATGCCACCATATCATCCCACCACAGCGAGGCCCAATCCGGCCCGCTTGGCCGAGCGTCCCGATGAGTGCCTCTTCTTCATCGACGACTCCAACATCTGGATCCATGCGCAAAAGTTCGCCGCAAAGGCAAACGCCCACCGGCCCAAGCTGACTGACAGCGACCAAGACCCGCGCCTGCGTATCGACATTGGCCGCCTCGTCACCACGCTTCTCAAGGCCAACGGCGGCAGCGACGCCACCGGCAAACCCAACCGGCACCGCGTCCAGAGCAAGTCGTTCTACTATGGCTCCAAGCCGCCGCCCAGCGACTCCGTCTGGGAGGCCATGGAGAAGAACCACTTCGAGACCAAAATCTACGACCGCGCCGCCAGCGGCCGCGAGAAGGAGGTCGACGGCTCCATGGGCGCCGACATTTCTGGCATCGCCTCGGACCTGTCTGCGCGCGCCGACATGGAGGCCCAGATGGAGGCCAAGTACCGCATCGAGGCCTACGAGCACCGCAACCGCATCAACCTCACCACCTTCATCTGCATTACCGGCGACCGCGACATGATGCCCGCCATCCTCAAGGCCCTCAAGTCGGGCATCTGCGTCGAGTTGTGGGCCTGGAAGCACGCCCTCTCCAAGGACTTTGTCAAGCTCGAGACCGCCACCGACAAGCAGCCCCTGGCCTCGCTGTTCTCCGTCAACTACCTCGACGGCGTCTTTGCCGACATCTTCTTCACCAACTACTTCTCGACCCGCCGCGGCCGTGGGACCGTCGACCCGGCCAAGTCGGTCGTTCTGTGCGACTTTGTGCCGGCCTGGTACGAGCAGTTTATGCTCAGCCCCGCCGGCGCCGGCGGGGCTGCCAACGACCCCGTGGACGGGCCCTGGCCGGGGCCCCTGGGCAAGGACGAGTCCCGCAAGGGCGGCCCCAGCCCGCTGGAAAAGGCCGTCTGCGACAAGCTCATGCTGCTGGGCAAGGTTTTTTACATCACACGGGACGAGCCCACGGCCACGGCGCCGGCGACTGCCGCGCCGCCCACGCTGTTCATCGAGTTCTCGCGCGTCCCCAACAACCACATCGAGCCCGTGCTCCTCAAGGTGCGCACGTCGTTCCGCGGCATCGCCACGGTCCTGTCGTGGCCCGTCTACGCCGGCCGGACCAATCGCAAGACGATGCCCACGGCCGAGATGAGCAACATGTACGCGCCCCTGAGCGGCGACGATGCGCACGTGCAAGAGCTGGATGCAGACGACGACGATGTGGGGGACGTGGGGGACGTGGGGGATGCCGGGGACGCCGAGGAGGCCGAGGAGGCCGACGAGGGGACGACTGGGGTGGACGTCAACGCCGAGACGGTCGACGGCACAGCGGAGGCGATCGCGGACACCAGCACCGACGGCACCGACGGCACGCCCTCCGAGGACGGCTGGCAGACCGTCTCCCATTTCGACCGCGCTGAGTCCCACCGCCGCAACCGCAACCGCACACAGCGCTGCCGGTACGGCATCCACTGCTACAAGCGCGGCCAATGCGGCTCCGTCCACACCAACATGGAGCACAACCTCTTCCAAGAGTTTCCCTGGCTGAACTTCAAGCGCTGGCGCTCCGAGCCCTGCCGCTTCGGCGACGCCTGCGCCAGCGGCCGGCGGTGTGCCTATGCCCATTCGGCCAGCGAGGCGTGGTGCATGAACTGCCACATCATGGGGCATTATTCAAGCGACTGCAAGCACTGAGCTGGAAGCAGAGGCCACCGACGCCCCGTTAACACTGTTTGGGTTCTTTTTTATTCTGTTTTTGTTTTTATTCTTATGGTTTGGTGTCTGTTTCGCGTTTATACGAGCTTTGCTTACAACAAGTCCTGGTTTTTAATTTGCTGCATAGTTTACGTTGTTACTGTTCTTGATTTGATATATACACCGTTTTTGTATATCGTGCCTCTTGGGTACACAATGCAAGCTTCTATGATGAGAGAAAAAACGAAAAGCAGACCAAGTAGAACGCCGTCCATGGACAAAACAAGAAAACGAACCGAACACACCCCCCAAACAGAAGAGCAGCACCCGTCCCCTTTCGCCTACTTTTTCTCCGCATCAAAGACAATTTCGTCGCCCTCTCGCTTGGCCGTCATCACCACCACCTCTTCTTCCTCCTCCTCGTCGTCGTTGTCGTCTGCGTTGGGCTCCTTGTTCAGATCCAGCGCGGCCGTCGCACGGTCGAGACGGGCGCCTTGGCCGTTGTCCTTTTTGGAGGAGGAGGACGCCACCGTCGCCGCCTCCTCCGCCTTCTCCGCCTTCTCCGCCGACGCCAAAAAGTAGTCCACCACCGCCACCTGGTCGTGGAGCCCCGCCAGGTCCAGCGCCACATAGTTCTTGTCGTTGGCCAGCGCCGGCGACGCGCCCGCCTGCTCGACCAGCGCCCGCACCACGGCCAGGTGCCCGTTCATGGCCGCCCAGTGCAGCGCCGTGTTGCCAAAGGCGTTGGTGGCGTCCAAAAAGGCCTGGCGGGCGGGGGCGGGGGAGGCGGTCTGCCCCTGTCCCTCCTTGATCTGAGAGAGGATGAGGGTGACAATGTCTGCGTCCTGTTAGCCATACGTCGTCCTGTCTTGGGCATCGTCGTCATTGATGGGGCGCACACACCCAAATGTCCATTCCCGGCAGCCATGTGCAGGGGCGTGTTCTTGCCGGCATCGACGGCGGCAGCCAAGATACTGAGAGGCGTGGCATCGCCGCCGGCCTTGGCGACGAGCGCGGCGAGCGTGTCCGCGAGGTCGGCTGCTTCGTTGGCCCGCGCAAAGTAGAGGAGGTCGTCGACCTCGTCTTCTGTTAACGTGACCATGGCAAACAGTCGAGGGAGTGGCCGAGTGAGCGAACCGAGTGAGGAGAATGAAAACCGAGTGCGCTGAGCGAGCGAGGCGAAATAGAAGAAGCCGTGCTGAGTCGAGTGGAAGAAAAGTGTAGTCAAAGGGAGCCAATGGGGATGCTGTATTCAACTTTGACCTTTGCTGAAACTTTTTTTGGAGCCCAAGGCTAGCAGCGCGGGGCGGCAATACAGTGTGTAGATGGCATTATAATTATAGAAATGCTACTTCAATGAGCAAACAGTGCCCCGTGAACACAGTGTTGATATTACATAAAGCACTGTATCTATTACACCCTGTCGGACCAGCCTCAGCCTTGTGGTGGCCAACGCCGCATGACACGTTTTCACGACGGGTTTTGTATCATTTCGGAAACAAACTTTCATTTTTTTTTTACCTGACTATTGATGCCATCTGATTTCTCGTCCATCGCTTCCCTTACACCACAATCAAATAACATCCAAGCCACCTTCCTGGTCTTGGTAAAGCTTTTCGTCCAGCCAAGTCGCGAGATCTCCATAGTCGTCGGCTGCCTGGATCTCAGCTTTGATATTGAGCATGAGCATGACCTGCACTTCGCGGTACTGCTTAAGGGACGCTGCATCGGAGTCGGCAGTGGTGCCGTAGACCATGTCTTTGAGAAGACACACAGCCGTACGCCGGTCCGTGTCGGTCAACGGCAGAACGTCGTTCAGGGCCGACCACGTATGACGCGTGTCGACGGAATTTCGAGGACAGAAAAGGTCACAGCTCTGGATACCAAGCCACTTCATTCCGGGAACCGTCGTATTGGCCTCGTGGCTCAGACTCTGGCTGCCATATTTGTACGTTCGGAAGATGCGCAGGCCGTGCGGATCGTAGTCGACCAGCCCGTAGATGGGAAGCCAGGGTGCTGTCTCATGGATGTGGTGCAGGAACGAGCGGGTAACGAGAGTCGGGTAGCCTTTGGACTTTGATTCGTCAGTGGTGGTCTTGTCTACCCGGTTTCCTGATGCCGAGGAGCATCTCAACTAACCGTGACAAGAGCGCCGGGCCCAGCGACGGATGCGTTGCAGTAGCCCGACGCAGCGAGTGTTCTGAATGTAGCCTAACTATAAATTAGATGAAATCGATGTCGATTCAACTTTGACGGGGCCATACTTCTTTCTCAATGACAAGGATCCATTGGCACGAAGACAGATCGAGCTCTCGGATTTCTCTCATCGGTGGAATGGCAATTCCCTAGTGGCAGATACTGTTAGTCGGAATTTTGTGGGTGTGAGCGAGAAGGATCTGCTTACATTCTCTTGGCTGGATGCTGAGAAGTATGCATTGTGGTGTGTAATGAAACTGAGTTGGCCACACAGCAAGCCAACACTGGCCGCCACCTACCACTGTTAGTAAGAGCCATCAACAAGACTCATTTCACCAGACGTACAATGTTGAGAGAGTCCCGGCCAAGGTTGAGCGTGTAGGCAATGTCGTCGACCAAGCTGTCGACAACTCTCTGATCCCGAAAAAGGTCGCGGTACTGGTAGAAGATGTTTCTGGTCCGTCAGCACCTGCCCGGCCTCTGCCAGCACCTGGACCCCCCGCGTTGGACTCAATACCTTTTGGTGACAATTGTGCCCGAAAGGAGCGCCTGGTGAGACAGCTGTAGGATGCTGAGTACTTGGGCTAAGCGAGATTTGAGAGTTAGTAAACCGGACTGCATATACCGGACTGCACCCGTTACGTGGCAGGATGCATCTCATGACTGCGGAAAGGCTTCCAAAAAAATCGGTGGCCCACTGAAAAGTTTGCCCTCGGCCTCGGTCTTCCCGGGAAAGGACACAAAGCCACAGGGCTGCTGCCTGGCTGCATCGCCATCCCGGGATGCAACACGGGCTCTGGGCCTGGAGCGGCGAGAAAAGGGAATGGTCAATTCTGTGCCCCGGATGACATTGTCCAGTACAGTTTCCATGATCTGCTCAATCTTGTTCACGGCCATGCCCATGCGGCTGGACGACGCAAGCGCGGCGCTCTGTGTGTCTCTACTCGGGCTGGGTGTTGCCCTGGGTGTGGACCTCCGCGGAACTATGTTGGTCGACCGGCCATTGCTTCGAGGTGATGGACATGCAGGAGAATGCGTAAAGGCATCGGGGAATGAATGAGGGGAAGATGACGGCGTAGGAGGCCGCGGGCAACCGGCCAGACTGGGCATGGGCGGTGTGATTGCAAGACTTGGCACGTTTAGACACGGTATCAGAGTGGCTCAGGCAAATGCGTTGTGATCAAATGGTGACGCCAACAGTGGCAGTATGATATCTCGTTGTTGATTCTATTCAGGGGGCTTCGGCCCGAGGGGAGGAAAAGAAGGAGGAGAAGAATCCGGGGGTTGCACCCCTTTTCGAGCCATTTTTAATAGTGTACCTCTTGGGATAAAAAGGGAAAGAGCATTGGGCGTGATGAAGGCCGTGAGACAAGTATTTAGGAAGCTGCGAAGATGGTCGTCGGATCAGTTCCGACTTGTTGTAAGTCAGACGCAGGAAGGAGCGGACGACACCAAGATGAATGCAGGCCAAGACGGAACGATCCCTAAATCATACCCAGGGCACCATTTCGGGACTTTGCAGTCAACAAATTGAGTTCTAATGGGTGGGGAAGACAAGGGGTGGATTGGCGCTAAAACGGGAAGGTGTGCCCCATTACCGCTCCAGCAAGAAAGTGCGACCCACCATAAAGTAGAGGCTCCCCCCCTAAACAACAAAACGACCATTTCGTGAACTTTGACTTGACTTCATCACAAACCCAACGTTCAACCCCAACTTCGGCACGACCTGCCATTCTGACATATCGTCACTCTACCCGCAGATCAGGGTCAAATTCAACTGGCAGCATAGGCATGGTGCAAACACGCTCGACGGCCATTGCCGTCGAACCGACGTCGACACCCAGCAAGAAGCGTGCGAACGACAGCGCCAATGGCCATGGCGACAGCAACGGCAACGGCAACGGCAACGGCACCCAACTCGGCGATGAGAATGGCAGCCTGAAGAACCCGGCGAAACGGCAGCGTCTGCCCGAGCGGACGGACCCGTTGCGATGGCGGCTGCGCGACGACGCGGGCTTGCAGACGTGGCACTACCTGGACGACGACGCCGAGGCAAAGGAGTGGCCGCAGAGTCTTGCCGACAAGTACTTTTTGGGACTGTCCCTGGTGCGTGTGCTTATCTTCCCGTCTTCCCGTACACTATTTCAGCGCATACTTTTCCTCTTGTATTCTGACGTGTAGCAGGACCTCCCCGATCTGTCGAAGCCGACGACCCCGACCGAGTCCGTCCAGAACGGCCTCTCCTTCTTCGAGAAGCTGCAGCTGCCGCCAGGCAATTGGGCGTGCGAATACGGCGGGCCCATGTTCCTGCTGCCGGGCATTGTCATTTCCTGGTACGTGACCAAGACACCCATCTCGCTGGCCTACGCGACCGAGATCAAGAACTACGTGTTTGCACGTGCCAACCCGGACGACGGCGGCTGGGGCCTGCACATTGAGGGCGAGAGCACCGTGCTCGGCACCTCGCTCAACTACATCGTGCTGCGCATCGTGGGCGTCGACGCCGACGAGCCGCGCATGGTCAAGGCGCGCGCGACGCTGCACCGCCTGGGCAGCGGCACGCACGGCCCGCACTGGGCCAAGGTGTGGATGTCCGTGCTGGGCGTGGCCGACTGGCGCATCGTGAACCCCGTGCCGCCCGAGCTGTGGCTGCTGCCCGACTGGGTGCCCATTGCGCCGTGGCGCTGGTGGATCCACATGCGGCAGGTGTTTCTGCCCATGTCGTACATGTACTCCAAGCGGTGGGTCTGCGAGGAGACGGAGCTTGTGCGCGCGCTGCGCCAGGAGCTGTACACCGAAGACTATGCGCACATCGACTGGGCGCGCCACCGCAACTCGATTGCGCCCACGGACAACTACCACCCCAAGTCGGGGCTGCTCAGCGCGGTCAACTGGGCCCTGGTGCACGTGTGGAACCCCTACCTGCGGCCCAACTTTGTCAAGAGGCGCGCCGAGCAGTGGGTCAGCGACCTCATCGACATGGAGGACGAGAACACCGACTATGCGAATCTCGCCCCGGTTAATAGCCCCATGAACCTGGTGTGTTGCTACATCCGCGACGGGCCCGACGCCTACTCGGTGCGCCGCCACCGCGAGCGCATGCGCGAGTTCCTGTGGGTCAAGAGCGAGGGCCTGCTGTGCAACGGCACCAACGGCGTGCAGTGCTGGGACACGGCCTTTGCGATCCAGGCCGTCATGGACGCCGGCCTGGAGACGGACCCGCGCTGGCGCCCGATGCTGCTGTCGGCGCTGGCGTTTCTCGACGACCAACAGATCCGCGAGGAGGTGCCGCACAAGGACCGCGGGTACCGGCAGCGCCGCAAGGGCGCCTGGGCATTTAGTAATAAGACCCAGGGCTACGCCGTCAGTGACTGCATCTCGGAGGCGCTCAAGTCGGTCATCCTGCTGCAAAAGACGCCCGGCTTCCCGCAGCGCATTGACGACCAGCGCATCTTCGACGCGGTCGACACGGTGCTGACGTTCCAGAGCCCCTCGGGCGGCTGTGCGTCGTACGAGCCGCCGCGGGCCGGCGAGTGGATGGAGATGCTGAATGCCGCCGAGGTGTTTGGCCGCATCATGGTCGAGTACGACTACCCCGAGTGCACGACGGCGGTCGTGACGGCGCTGTCGCTGTTCCACAAGCACTGGCCCGCGTACCGCGCCGAGGAGATCACCACGTTCATCCAGCTGTCCGTCGGCTGGATCAAGACGGCCCAGCGGCCGGACGGCAGCTGGTACGGCAGCTGGGGCATCTGCTTCACCTACGCGACCATGTTTGCCCTCGAGAGCCTGCACGCGGTGGGCGAGACGTGCGCCAACAGCGAGCACGCGCGCAAGGCCTGCGCGTTCCTGCTGTCCAAGCAGCGCGCCGACGGCGGCTGGTCCGAGAGCTACAAGGCCTGCGAGCGCATGGAGTACATTGAGCACCCGTCCGGGTCGCTCGTCGTGCAGACGGCGTGGGCCGTCATTGGCCTGCTCAAGGCCGACTACCCGGACGTGGCGCCGATCCGCAAGGCGATTGGCCTCATCATGGCGCGGCAGCAGAGCAACGGCGAGTGGCTGCAGGAGGCGATTGAGGGCGTGTTCAACAAGAGCTGCATGATCTCGTACCCCAACTACAAGTTTGTCTTTCCCATGAAGGCGCTGGGCCAGTTCCACCACAAGTACCCCAACGAGCGGATCGTGGCATAAAGGGTGGAGCAAGCGGGTAGCAACGTGGCGGCTGTGCTGCAAAGAATAGACTTATCAGGGAAAAGGGAGGAACAACAGAGAAGACGAAGAAAAGACGGAGTATAATTATGGGCTGGGTTTCGGTTTTAGTTTTATGACATCGACGACGGCGATCGACGTTCTGCTCAAGGCTTTCGGGCCGGCATAGACCACACACTTGAGAGCTATGCACCTCTACACACACAGTAGTATTACACCTTAATAGCACAAATACGAGCACGATTGCGTGTTGTATCGCAAAAGACGTGATGACAATGGTACGACTTATATGAACAGTCACGTGCGCCGACAGAGAGACACCTCGGCTGGCGTTACCAAACCGGGGCAACTGACGGGAAGCTCTCCAAGAATAGCTTGAGCTAGTCCCCGCCATGTGCCAGGCACAAGCACGCATGCGCCTACTTAGCTCCTTCCTTCTCGGCTCTTTTGATTGCACGCCAACTTGCCGACAACATCATCCAGGGAAGCAGCGACGGGCAGACGGCTACTCTAGCGACGACGTTCGTTGCTCTTTCCGTCCTTTCCCACCTGTCGTCCAACCGCAATTGCTGTTCCAACGCACCTTCTTTCGGTTTGCAGCCATTGCATTTGTTTACCCTTTTGCCGCCGATCTCCGACCTCCTCTCTCAAACTACAAGACACAAACCCGCCGACCCCTCTCAAACTACAAGACACAACCCGCCGACACCCGACACCTGGCCATGCTCTCCTTGCGCCGCGCTGCCGCGGCCCCGTCGTCGGCAATGTTGAGCCGGCTGGCTCGATCCGCCCCGGCATCCGCGCTGCGACGCGCACCGTTTGCTTCGCAGGTCCGCGGCGTCGCCACGGACGACAATTCGGCACCGCGGGCGACTCCCGACGAACCGCAGCTCGACGTGGCTGCTTCCACTGCGTTCGCTATTGTGCGCGAACCGAGGGGGCGACCTCGCAAGCCGCTGGCTGGGGGCTTGGGCCAGGGCACAACGAGACGCTGGTCGAAGCCCAAGGAAGAGGGCGAGGCCAGCGGCGTGCAGACCGCCAGCACCGGGGAGGCGCAGCCATCAGACCAAGCATATGCGCCGCATATGTACAATATGGGCGTCTTGCGTAAGCGTGTTACCGGAAACCCAACAAGAGCAAGGCCGCGCGCGACGGGGCCAGCCATTGACGGCATTGTGCAGTCCGTCGAGTACGCGAGCCAGACGGACGAGCTCATACTGCAATTCCGCGGCGTGAGGGTGCCGGTACGGGTGTCGACACTGTGGCTGCGCGACACCTGCGCCTGCCCGACGTGTGTGACGGCGTCGTCGGGCCAAAAGACGTTTCACACGCACGACCTCCCACGGTCGCCGCGCGTGCAAGAGTGCACGATCGTCACGGATCCGGACAGCTTGCGGACGTCACTGCGCGTGGTCTGGGATCCTGCACCGAGCAAGACTGAAGAAGGCACGGAAGCCGCCGGCGCTGCCTCCAGCGCCGACACACACGTGTCGCTCTATGACACGCAGGAGCTGCTCTTCCGGCTGGCGCAGCTCGACCCGCCAAACTACCCTGGGCAGCTCGAGCGTCGCCTCTGGGACCGGACGACGATCGAGGCGGCACTCAAGCCTGTGTCGTATGCCGACTGGATGGCGCCTGACGACGGCAGCAACGCCGAATTTTACCGCGCCCTGCTGGACCTGCACGCGCTGGGCATTCTGATTGTGGACGGCGTGCCCGAGTCGGAGACGGCGGTGCGCGAGATTGCCGAGAAGATTGGCAACATCCAGAACACGTTCTACGGCGAGACGTTTGACGTGGTGTCCAAGCCGAATGCTGAGAACGTGGCCTACTCCAATGTGTTTTTGTGCCTGCACCAGGACCTGCTGTACATGAACGACCCGCCCTACATCCAGCTGCTGCACTGCCTGCGCAACGACTGCGACGGCGGCGAGTCGCTGTTTACGGATTCGGTGCGCGCGGCCACCGAAATGCAGGTGTGCAGCCCCGAGAAGGTGGAGGTGCTAACTCGCGTCCCCGTGCGCTACCACTACGAGCGCAACGGCCATTACTACTACAACGCACGGCCTGTCTTGGAGCTGGAGCGGGACGGAGGGGCCCGCTCGACGCTGCTGGCGACCGAACGCGCATCACTTGGTCGTGTCGGGGACCGCATCAAGCAGACGGCCTGGTCACCGCCATTCCAGGACAGCATGCCCTACGACCTAACCAAAGCCATGGAATTTCCCGCCTGGCGGAACTCCACCAACCCCGTGTCGTATCCGCACCGCCGCGACAAGCTTGCCGCGACGTCGCAAGCGACGCGTCTCGCACTGTGGCACGACGCCGCGGCCGAGTTCAGCGAGCGGCTCGAGGACCCCCGCGCGATGCTGGAGCTTAAGCTGCAACCGGGCCAGTGCGTGCTCTTCAACAACCGGCGCGTGCTGCACGGGCGGCGGCAGTTCAATGCGTCCGCCGGCACGCGCTGGCTCAAGGGCACGTACATTGACGAGCAGACGTTCCAGAGCCGGCTGACGGACATGGTGCGCCGGGGCCGCGTGCCGGGCCAAGAGACCACCGAGGCCGAACGGGAGGCGCGACCGACAAACACGCCGCCCTTTGGGCCGTTTCCTCAGCCGCCATGGGTGCAAGGGGCTATGGATCGGTCACGGGTGGTGGAGATGATGAAAGAAGCCGGGCGGCCGGTCTCGGAGGGTACACGCTGGAGCCTGCCCCGGATCGCGGATGAGTAGAGATGTGCGGTGGCGAAGGGAGACAAAAGCTGGAAAAGGAGCTGATCTGGGGTTGGATCTCGAAAGCAATGTACAAGGGATGCATTTTCAAAGAGATAATCCACTATGAGACGATGAGACGATGAGACGATGAGACGACGACTCCAGTGCAGACTGTATGGCAGCCACTGTGCTTGGCGTCACTATGCTTGGTTGTGGACGGTCTGAGTACGATGAGAGATACGACGGTACATTCAAACATGCCCTGTGAACGTTGCCGTTTCTGTTTTGGCACAGCAAAAAGGCACGGAATGCCCATTATGTGCACGCCGCCCCTATTACAAGTGTCCCTTCCAAATTAGGAAGGAGACGATTTCGTAACTCCGAATGTCAATTGGAGAAACGAAACGGCAGGTGCCGCGCACATTGCTCTTCGACGTAGCAGGCAGCCGCGTAAAAGCCGGCAAGAATGGCCGTCTTACAAACAGAGCCAAGGCCGAGCGCCACATTGTTTGGCGGACGGCAGGTACATAAGGATTAGGGCATGCTGTACATACAGTTCGTTTGACATCGCAGCTCCTCCATTTGCATCTTTTTCCTTGCATCAACCCACCACTCCACCTGCACACACACGCGCGCAACCCACCCATACAATGACCCTCCACAAAACCGTCCCGTACGGCCGCTGGACCAGCGCCATCTCCGCCGAGGCGGCCACGGCCGGCACTAAGACGGTGACGTCGCCACGAGCGGCGCTAATCAGGCAAGGCCAGGAATGCGACAGCAAGACCAGAGGCTACTTCCTGGTGTCGCAGGACGACGGCCGGAGCACAATCTACGAGCACGACGCCGGGGACGAGGGCGAAGACGTTGTGCGAAACGTCCTGCCCGAGCCGTGGGGCGTGGGCACGAGCGTCTACGAGTACGGCGGACAGGCCTATGCCGTGCTGGGCGACGGCGCGATTGTGTTTGCGGACCCGCGCGACAACGGCGTGTACGTGCTGGACGTGGCGTCGGGGTCGGGCCGCGTGCGGACGCTCGTGGCGGGCACGCCGGCGCTGCGGTACGGCGACTTTGACGCGCCACCGGACGAGCGCGGCGGCCACGACTGGCTCCTGGCGGTCCAAGAAGACCACACCCACCCGGCGCCGGCGGACGTGCGGAACTACATTGTGGCGATCCACCGGACGACGGGCACGGTCGTGCGCGTTGTCGAGGGCGCCGACTTCTACTCCTACCCGCGGTGGGGTGCGCCGTCCCAGACCGTGTCGGCGACCGGCGCCGCGACGCAGCACACGCTGGCCTGGCGCCAGTGGAACCACCCCGACCTGCCGTTCGACGGCGTCACGCTGCACTGCGCGGCGTGGGATGCATCGACAAACACGCTGTCGCAGGCCACACAGGTGGCGGGCGCCAACCGCCAGTGCGTGGCCGAGGCCGTGTGGACGCCGGACCGAACAAGCCTCGTGTTTGGCATGGAGGCAGCGAATGCCGATGCCTTCCGGCAGCTGTACCGTGTGCGGTTTGGGGGTCCGGGCACTGGGGGCCCGTCATCGCCCGAGCCCGTCGTTCTCAAAGGGCTGGAGGACTGCGAGTTTGGCGATGCGTCGTGGATGGTGGGATGGTCAGTGCCCTGTGTGCTCTTGCGTGCCCTTGTTCCCAGTCATGTCGTGTCATTGTATGAGCGTGCTAACTGTCCTCCACCAGTCAGACAATTGCCTTCCTCACCCCTACACGATTTGTGGCCGTCGCCACCCGCTGCGGCCAGAACCACCTGGTGTATGCCGACATCGACACGGGCGCCTGGGCGTCGCTCGACGCCGACGTCGGTCTGGTCGAGCTCAAGTTCGACCCGCTCGCCGCACTGTCGGCGTCCTCGTTCCTGGTTGTCGGCAGCGGATTCACAACGCCCCAGGCAGCGTACCGGGTCGATCTCGACGTCGACGCGTGCAATAGGGCTCTTGATGCACGCAGTCATGCTTCTCTGGGCGAGGAACAGCACACACCCTTGGCAACACGAACGCGCCTCTTCCGCTCCACCGAGCAAAACTTTGATGCGCGCCTCTTTTCCACGCCCGAGCTGATCTGCATTCCGGCACCGGGCGCCGTGGGCGGCGAGCACCAGCAAGCCACAACCGCGACTGCCACACACACCGTCTACGGCTGGTTCTGGCCGCCGCACAACCGCGCCTTCGAGGCCCCCGACGACACGCTGCCACCTCTGGTCATCACGCCCCACGGCGGGCCCACGGCGTACACGACGCCTGGCCT